AGAAAGTATATTACACCGTATATTCTTATCGTGAAATTTCAATCGATAGGAAAATTATTTTATCACGCGTATGTATGTAAATCACGGAAAGGAAGGAGAAAAATTCTTCGACTCGAAGAGATGAAAGTCAAGGATAAGAAAATTGTTATGGAAGAAATATCGAATTTCTTTTTGAGTGATTTCTAATTGAAATAAACAGAGTTGGAATGAAATTTTTTTTTTTTTTTTTATCAATTTAAAAGTTTTCCTCCGTTAAATTTTTTTCCACCGTATTTTTTTTTTAATAATAAATTTAATTTTTAAATTAATTAAATAAATTTTTTAAATTAATTAAATAATTAAAAAAATTAATAATTTATTAATAAATTTTTTTCCGTGTGACTCCATCGATTGTAATTATATTGAAAAATGTAATATAAATTGAAGGAGAGGAAATTCTTTTATATATATATAAATCAGACGCGAAAAAAAAAATCGAGAAATTTATACGGTTAATTCATTGAGCGGATAAACACGATCACGCAGTGAAAATGAACGTTCTATGGGTGGGTTATTAAGCGACGGATAATCGATTAAGTTAAACGATGATAACGCGGGGATAATTTCTCTTCTGAATCGAAACGTTGTTGTTACGCGTATTTTTCTTAGATAGAAGCTTTCCTATGATAATTCGTAATCACCCACGATTTTTCTACAGGCTCGAGGCAGTCTTTGACATTCTAAAACTGCTACCACAAACAATATTGAAATTCAATTATCCATGCGATAAAATGCTTTACGATGTTTTTGAACTGTGACATTTCGATCTGCCGTTTAGTCGAAGATTTAACGATTGTTTATGATAAGATGATCTTTTAATAATCGTTTGACGTGCAATTTCAATATAACGGTAAACGATTTTTCTTCTCCCGCCGTTGCACAAAGTACATCATTCTTTTTTCCTTTTTTTTTTTTTTTTTTTCTTTTTCCACCATAACACACCGTCACACACTTCACAAATCTCATCCATCAACGAATTCAATAATTCCTTCCAAAATTTACTTAAAAATTAATGATCAAACTTTACAGCCGATAATTCATCGATTGTTCTAATTAAAATTCAATTTCATCCTCTCCAATCGCTTTTCTTTCGATAATCAAAACTCAATAACAAACTCAATAATAAACTCCTCCTCGATTTCCTCGCGAATAATAGTTTCACGTTGAAAGGTTTCGTAACTTCGAAACTCGGTTAAAAATATCGGAAGGAAAGGGAGGGAACAGCTGGCAGAAGCAAACTGGAGTTGGAGGAGCGTGTTTTGTATCCCGGGCGGAGGCGGCTTTATTGAAATGCGGACGAGGGAGCAACAGGGTGACGGTGGTGGTGGGTTCTCTCCCGGGTCGCGTGGACAACACTCCCACGGAATATTAAACGCGTTTCTCCGTGGCGTGTCCCTCTTTATCTCGTCACGGTGCGTTTCACCTACCTGCAATATTTGCGCGTTGAGGTAGGTACCGCACGAGCGGTAGATGCAACAGCACGCGGATAATGCATTCTGATGCATCGTGCAAGAGATGGCTTCTTACTTACGACTCTCCGCCTCGTATATAAGGGAATACCTCGAACGGTGGAAGCGGATCGATCGATACAGAATTTAGAAGGGAAGAGAGAAAGAGAAGGAGGAAAGAAAATTCTTTTTTTGCGAATCTCCTTCTCTTTGTCTCAGAAATTTCATACTTCAAAGAAATATTCTTCGTCTTCCTCATTTCTGTTTGGCTAGAGAATTCTTCCCATGTATCCAGCTACAAAAAGAGAATGAATCTCTCATTTTGATGATCACGAATGAATTGATTAATTACGAATCTCCTTCTTTTTTGGAAAAAATTGTATTTGAAAAATTGAAAGAAAATTGAAATGTTGAAAAATCTTGAAAAATTTTAAGAAATTTGTCTCTTTATCTGAGAAATTTCACACTTTAGAAGAAATATTCCTATCTTTTCCATCTCTGTTTGCCCTATGTACCAATTTCAAAAAGAGGATAAATCTATCACTTTGATGATCACGAATGAATTGATTAATTACGAATCTTCTTCTTTTTTGGAGAAAATTGCATTTTAAGAAATTTGTCTCTTTATTTCAGAAATTTCATACTTTAGAATAAATATTCTTCATCTTCCTCATCTCTTGATTAATTACGAATCTTTTTCTTTTTTGGAGAAAATTTTAAGAAATTATTTTAAGTATTTTAAGAAATTTCCTCTTTATCTCAGAAATTTTAGAAGAAATATTCTTCATCTTCCTCATCTCTGTTTGCTGAAGAATCCTTTCCACACCAACTGAAAAGTCTCTCACTTTGATGATCACGAATGAATTGATTAATTACGAATCTCCTTCTTTTTTGGAGAAAATTGTATTTTAAGAAATTTGTCTCTTTATCTCAGAAATTTCATACTTTAGAATAAATATTCTTCATCTTCCTCATCTCTTGATTAATCTCCTTCTTTTTTGGAGAAAATTGCATTTTAAGAAATTTCCTCTTTATCTCAGAAATTTCATATTTTAGAAGAAATATTTTTCATCTTCCTCATCTTTGTTTGCTGAAGAATCCTTTCCATACATCAACTGAAAAGCCTCTCATTTTGATGATCACAAATGAACTGATTAATTAATTACAAATCTTCTTCTTCTTTGGAGAAAACTGTATTTTAAGAAATTCTCTCTTTGTCTCAGAAATTTCATACCTTAGAATAAATATTCCCATCTTTTTGCCCTATGTACCAATTTCAAAAAGAGGATAAATCTACCACTTTGATGATCACGAATGGACTGATTAATTAATTACGAATCTCCTTCTGTTATGGAGAAATTTACATTTTAAGAAATTTCCTCTTTATCTCAGAAATTTTATATTTTAGAAGAAATATTCTTCATCTCTGTTTGTTGATCACGAATGAACTGATTAATTAATTACAAATCTCCTTCTTCTTTGGAGAAAACTGTATTTTAAGAAATTCTCTCTTTGTCTCAGAAATTTCAATACCTTAGAATAAATATTCCCATCTTCTCCATCTCTGTTTGCCCAGAGGATCCTTCCCTACATACTACAAAAAAGAGGAAAGGGAAGGGAATCTCCAGTTTGATGATCACGAATGAACTGATTAACCCGAACTCGTCGTCCATTATAATTCATCCTTCGATCCTCGCGCATCCGCGCCGCGCCTGTGCAAACAGTCGTCGAGGAAAATATTTGCACAGGATAACGCGGGCCCCTCATTATCGGGGTCGACGTCGAGAGGGGGCTCGAGGGAATGGATTCAGCTGCGGAGCGAACAGGAGCGAACGCGACGTGGAAGGAGATGGAAGGTGGTTGAAAAGGAGGCAAGGAGGTAGAGAAAAGATAGAGGTAGGGGGGGGGGAGGGTGAGAGGGGAAGAGAAGAGGTAGAGATTGATTCGACATGCATAAATTAGAGAGGATGAGGCTTTATCCCGTGCGCGAGGATCGGAGGATTGGGTCTGGAATTGGGATCTCCGCACAGGAGAGGAGTATAAATTGATGACTGTAGGCAAAAGGCAGGGGTTTATAATAATTAATCTTCGTGCGTGTATGTATGTATATATGTATGTACGTATGCATATATCCAGCCCCCTTCTCACCCTTTCAGACAGAGCTTACCCCCGCCGATCCTTCCTTCCTTCCTTCGATCCGACTTTTCGTCCGTTCCGTGCATCTGCATACGTCACGTTTATTTCTTTCTCCTTTTTTTTTTTTTTCTTGGAACGTGATTCAGACACGATTTAGAAATTTTTCCAATATCGAGTTGTATCTTTGTATCATCCATTGTTATAATTTATTTTTATTTTTTTATTTTTTTTTTTTTTGATTCTTTTAAATATTCAAATCGTTCCATTCGATCGACAAACGAGCGAAGAAAATGCCAATTAAAATTATCGCTCCACGAAAACCGTCGATGCAATCGTAATAATTTGAACTAATAATAGAAAAGTATAATATATACGCGTCATAAACATTATTGGAAACAAACAGTTTGACAGCCAACTTCGATCCGGATGGATGGATCACACGATCGAAACGCGATCAATTTTTCTTTTCTTCACTCGCCCCTTCTTAACTTGACTCGATTTAATCGGTTAAATCGGAGTCTAAAGACTCGGCCGGAAACGAGAAATAGCCGCGGTGACAAATATCCAGCCGAGGTTGGCCGAGGCTGAACCTCGCCAAGGGGCGATTAGATATCGCGTCGAGGCGGGCGATAAATTATGGTGAGCGTGTGTGGCGCGATGGGGGGAGGGGGAGGGATCCTGGCGGTGGCCGTCGCTAAATTGAGGAATCATCAGCGTGGCTTAAAGCGCCGCGATTATCGTTAATTGATAAATTCGACGGACCCCCGGCGATTTATCGCCAACTCGTTTCTAATAGTTTATAACCGCGGAGGATACGTCTTCCAGGAAATCGTCGTCGGGGAGAATCGTCGTCGTCGAGGATTGCTCGATGGATTAAACCTCTGAAACCTCAGCCGTTTCTGAGAGAGACACGCGGAAATGGCCGGTTGAATCGAAGCCAGGGAAAGGTATTTCCAGCTGGGATGTTGGAAAATGTACGCGGATGCCTGCGATGTCGAGGAAAAGATCGTTTAAGAGAATTGGCTGCTCGTTTATCAATCGTGTAAAAAAAAATATCCAGGTCTTTCTGGAATATAAATATATATATATATATATATATATATATAAAGAGAGAGATTATATTTATATACAGTGAAGTTGATCATTCGAAGATCTTGTTTTACGACCTATAGATAATTTCTCCTCCATCTGTTCGTTATTCGAAGCTACTTTCGTTGAATACATCTTTAAATTTTTTTTTTTATGGAGAACGAGGGAAAAGAAGCGTTTTCTTTTAGAAAAATCGAATAACACATGTTATATACGTATAAATAAAAATTCTTCCCTTCGCTTATCCGATGAAATTAACTGAACCGAAGAAATTGTTCGATTTTGCAGACGGCGAAGCCGCGGGGAGGAGGATACGAGCGGCGTTGACGAGAATTCGCAGCAACAGCAGGCGAGCTACGTGGCGGGAGGTCAGCGCGACACAGAGGAAGAGGAAGAGCTGGGGGCAGAGGAGGCGGCGGCGCAGGCGGCGCAGTCCCTGCAGAGCGGCGCCGAGGGCGCCGATCCAGAGGTACACAAGAGGGTTGCTGCCGTGCAGGTGCAGGTGCAGGGTATGGAGGGCGACTGGCGGACGTACTGCGAGCACCCGCTCTCGGTGGCGACCGCGGCCATGCTGAATCTGCAGCAGCAGCACCAGGTCTCGGCCGTGGCCAGCCACGGCGACGACCCGGCTCCCTACGTCTACGAGTATTACAAATTGCCTGACAAGAACGCCGACGTCAAGCTGCCGCCTACCCACGAGCTTTGGTCCACGTGAGTCTCGATTTTTCCGTTATATCGTTATATCCGTCATCGTGTTCAGAGGAAGTGAGAGAAGTTCGAGAGGTCGATTTCTTTTAGATTCGATCTAATCTGTGTGCGATCCGCAGCCCGGTGCGGATTCGAGTACGTGTTGGATTTTGTTTTGAAGGAAGGACGATGGAAGGAAGAGTTGAAAGTCGGGATGAAAGGAGAAATGTATATGCTTTTCGCATTGCTGAGAAGAAATTCTCGTAGTTGACTTTTCTAGCCGCGATGCATATAAGTATTTTTAATATTTTATATTATCCGATTCGATAAAGTGTTTTTCAATGTTAGGCCTCGATTAATAGAAATTGATGGTATAGATGTTAGATTAATTCAAGTATTAATATAAATTCGAAAGCTTGGTTGATTCGTCGATTAAATTACTTTTAAGAGATAATATATAATTTCTGCTCGTCGTTTAATTACGAGAAACCTTCGTGAGACGAAGCCAATTCGAAGAAGAATAAATGTAATAAAATATACCTCCTCTATATATTTATTACATTTTTTATTATTCAAAACAAATCTATGAGTTCGATTAATCAAGATATATATATAAACTGTCTCTTACATATTCAGATTATTCGTAGATTATAGATCGATCGAGCCACACCTTATCGGTCGAAGAATAAAAATTACATCAAGAACATGAATCTTATTAGAAAATCTCTGTAAGAAATCTCCATCCACCTCGCTTATAACTTCATTTAAAAATTATTCCAATCGTTTGATTAATAAGAAACGATCAAAGAGTCCGTATATCGAAGAACAACAATTTTCTTCTTTCTTAATTAATTTTCTTATCTCGAAAGGACAGAGTCAAATATTCGTTTCACACGAACAGCTCTTCAAAAATTATACCGATACTCTTGCAAAACGCATTTCTCTCTTTAAAAGGTATCCGTCCATCATAGCCTAACATTCATCGAAACTACGCGTTATCCAGCTAATGCGAAATCGCGTGTTGCCCCTCATGCTTATAGTCTAAATATAGTTTAGGTTTCCACGGTCATCCCGCAATAACTCGTGGAAAGATTGCAGCTCGAATTGAATAACGAATCGAAGAGATCTCCATAGCATCTCGTTCCTCCTTCTCTCGCTTCCTTCGAAACAGGAGACATTCGCCTGCGGTGGTCGAGAAACTCTTTTTCCTCGAGGTGAGACGCGTTTTTTGTTATTGAATTAATCCGCGTCCACCACTTGGCGCTTTTTACCGAGCGACAAGATGACCGACGTTGATCGAAATGTCCCTCGAGAATGGATGCGCCCGCGTTGTTAAATCGACGTGGCCGATTTTTGTCCTTTTTTCCCCCTCCCCTCAAGATGGGTCGTTTGTCATCGTTTCCTTTTTTTTCTTTTTTTTTTTTTTTTTTTTTTTTCTCGTCTGCGATCTCGAGAATGCGTCTATCACGAACGTCTGCCAATTATATCTCGGGGCAAATCAGAGAAAGGAAAAAGAAAGGGAAAGGTGGAATCGATTTCCATCCGCGTTTGAAATTTCCAAATTTTCTTGAAATTGATTTTTGAAAAAAGAATCGCATCGACTCTGCAATTCTTTCTTCTAACCTGCGCAATCTTCAAAGAAGAAGAATAAAATCCTGATCTAATAACAGTTTGCACGAAACGAAGGGGTCAAAGGGTTGGTGGTGGCGTCGCGTGACGACTGGGTGGATCGGTCCGAGAGCGTCGATTAGCGTGGTAGATCGGCGGATAGCAGGCGTGTAAACGCCGTTGAAAACACTTTCAACGCGGCACCACGCTTTATTAACATCCACGGGTTTCCCCCGTATCTCGATTAATAGTCTCGTGTGCATAATTGAGTGCTCGCGGGTAGCATAATTTATCGCGTGCACGGTCCTATGTGGAACAATCGCTCGCCTTGGATATCTTCTCTCGCGAAAATGTAAATCTTCCTCTCTCTTTCTCTGTCTCTCTGTTTGTCTTTCTTTCAGGTTTCCGTATCCACGTTAGGAATTAAATAAATCTCTTCTTCTCTTTCTTTTTTTTTTCTCGCAATCTCTCTCTCTCTCTTTTTCTCTCTCTGAGGTTTATCCACGTTAGGAATCGAGATTAAACAAGGAGAGAGACGTCGAAGAAAGTGAAGGTAGAGATGGATTTTCTCCGCGAGAGAGGTGGATTTATTGTGAAGGTTTATTGGGCTATTACGCGAAATTTATAGAGGCCCCGCGCGATTATTCGATGTAAGTTGTAGGAAATTGAAAGGTTGTGGGAAGTTAGAGACTGGCCTCTTTTAAGTAGATGCCTGGATGATAACCAGTTGAATGAAAAATTTAGAAACTTGGTTACTTCTTTCTTCTCAATCTCTCGTTATCGGAGAAAGTAAAAAATTATCGTATTCGTTGTTGTTACGTGATCTTGTATTATTATTTCTCGAGATACGAGCACATTGTAAATTTAAGAATTTGGTGGAGGGAAAATATAATTTCCGAAAGATTAATTCCCGATTGGAGAAAGAAAAGAAAGAAAGAAAGAAGGGAAGAGTCGAATCGAGGTTCAGATTCATCAAGCATAATTGACCAATAAATTTCATCCGTATACCCATCGTTCACTGTTACATCAATGCGTGGCCGAGCGTGAACACGCTTAATTAATTACCGACAAAAAAGAAAAAACATACCTGGCTTAAAAAGTACCGTTTACTTCAGCGAAATCTTCAAAGAAGATCCTCTCTTTCGATTTTCAATAGGATCCAAAACAACTTCCTTAATCTCCATTTATTGGATAGATAGATTTGTTACAACGCACAATTACCTTCCACATTTCTTTTTAAATCGACGAATCCTAAAGAGAGAGATGCCAGCTCAAAAACTACCACGAACAACGAACGAAACAGCGAATAAGAGGAAGGAGAAAAGTAACGAACGAGCATCGAATCGACAAGGCAATTTTTCACTGTCCACTCGTTGTAATTACGTTTCTACGTATGGAAGGTGGAGAACGCGGTGATAGAAATAGATTGTTTTCCATCGATCGCCGCTTCCGAATCGAAACCGCGCGCTTTTAATCGCGGCACGAAGATCGCGGACTCGGCCCGCGGAACGCCACGAAATCGGCCCCCGTGACGACCCAGTCACCCGCCATAAATCTTCTCGAGATTCCACGTCGAGCCACCCCACGTTATACGCCGCTACCCGCGCGTAAAATATTCGAATTGTTCGGCGAATTCGTGATAACTTTGCGCGTTTCGATTTTATTTCGTTGTTTAATCCATCTTAGAATAGAAGAAAAGAGGAATATATTAGAAAAATATAGAGAGGTATCTTTTCATTCTCTCTTTCTCAATGGATCGTTTTCAATAAAATTTTCAATCGTAGATTCGTTGCACGAAATAGAAATGTTATCTATTCCTGATAACTTTGTGCGTTTGAATTTTATTTCCTTGTTTCGTTTAATCCATCTTAGGATAGAAGAAAAGAGGAATATATTAGAAAAATATAGAGAGGTATCTTTTCATTTTTTTCTCTCTTTCTCAATGAATTTTCAATAAAATTTTCATTCGTAGATTCGTTGCATGAAATAGAAATGTTATCTATTAACTTGATAACCTGATAACTTTGTGCGTTTGAATTTTATTTCCTTGTTTCGTTTAATCTTATAATATCCATCTTATAATAGAAGAAAAGAGGAATATATTAGAAAAATATAGATTATATATTAGAATATATATTAGAAAAAGAGATATCTTTTCGTTTTTCTCTCTCTTTCTCAATGGATCGTTTTCAATAAAATTTTCAATCGTAGATTCGATATTGCACGAAATAGAAATGTTATCTATTTCTGATAACTTTGTGCGTTTGAATTTTATTTCCTTGTTTCGTTTAATCCATCTTAGAATAGAAGAGAATGTATTAGAAGAATATTGAGAAATATTCTTTTTCTCTGTCTCTTTCTCTCGCTCTCTCAATAGATTTTCAATAAAATTTTCATTCGTAGATTCGATATTGCACGAAATAGAAATGTTATCTATTCCTGATAACTTTGTGCGTTTGAATTTTATTTCTTTGTTTCGTTTAATCCATCTTAGGATAGAAGAGAAGAAAAGAGGAATATATTAGAAAAATATAGAGAGGTATCTTTTCTTTTTTCTCTCTCTCTCTCAATAGATTTTCAATAAAATTTTCATTCGTAGATTCGTTGCACGAAATAGGAATGTTATCTATCCAATCGTAACGCAATGGCTGAGATTAAATTCTGAGAGATTCCGTTTTCTAAAGGACTGCTTTTCTACAAGTTTTTCCAGAAGAACTTGAGAGAAAGATGATCGTAGACTATTGCACACTTGGAGTGAACGAGCCTTTGTCAATTATCTACGAATCTTATCACTTCGTATTACCCGTTTAACCTCCTTATGAATACTTTGAGATACCGTTACTTTCGAAGCGGTGATTGTCAAGTGAAATAAAATATTATCAGTGCTTCGAATTTTTTTGTACTTATTATTAGAAGATTCTTCCATATTTTTTCTCTTTTTCTCTCTCGTGAAAACAATTATTTTAATTTAAAAAAATACCACTCGTCCCCGAAAAAAGAAGAAGAAGAAGAAGAAGAAGAAGTTTAAAAAACAACTCTTTATCTCAACTCTTAAAGATATCGAAACGAATACCAAAATCCTGGCAAACAAAGTTGAACAACTCCAAACTCTTTACAACCATAATAAAATCTACGTACAAGGAAAATCGTTAATTCGAATTCTCGCCAACCGATACCGATTTAAACAACGCTCAGATCCGGCCAGCCTGTATTTATATCGACGCCTTCCAACCAGCCCTTCCGGTCCATTTGCTCGGTTTGCAAACTCCGTATCCCGTTCTCTCGCTCCACTCTCTCTCTCTCTCTCTCTCTCTCTCCTCGCATTTGGATTCGTGACACGGGCGCTCCCTCCTCTCTTTATTTTGGTAGCCGATCGAGAGCCTTACCCTTGCTCCAATCGACGGGTAAGCAGACCC